AATTAAACAGTTACTGCCCTGAGAGAGGTTACATAATCTTTCACAGAGTATCTACCTACACAATGGAGACTTTGCCTTGATTCTTATACGTCATGCAGGACTTGAACTATCTGCTATCCTTCACTTTCATATACCTTTCTTTACATAAGCAATCACATCCTTTTGTGGTCATTCATGTCCTTGAGGATGTCCTTCTCTACTTCCTTTGTACAAGTTTTTAATAATAGTATGCTACAGGCTACTTATGGGTACAATATAGTTCTTTGATCTCCTTGGGGTTAACAACAATTTTGATTCTTTTTATAAATTAAAATTCATTTTCAATCAGCAAAAATCCACCTTTTCTCCCTATCTTCCCATCCCCAAAGAGAAAGAACATGTTACAAACACATATAGTCAATCGAAACAAATCCTCACATTGTCCATGTCCAAAAAAAAATGTCTCATTCTGAACTCTTAGGTCGGTCAACTTTCTGTCAGGAGGCTGGTTGCATTGTGTCGATCAGAGTTCCTAAGTCTTTGCCTTTTCAATATTGTTATTATTGTATAAACTGTTCTCCCAGTTCTGCAAACTTCACTTTGCATCAGTTCATAAAGTTTTTTTTCTGAAACCATTCCCTTCATTCATTATTTTTATGGAACAATGATAGTCTATCACACTAATATACAATAATTTATCCCTCAATAATTTATTCATTTTATTGGGAGAAAAGAAGATGTACACTGATAAATAAACACAAAATATATGTAAGGTATAGAATCTCACAAGAATAACAACTGCAACGTTGACAATGGTCCCTTTTGAGCCTCTTGCCATATCAGAAATACACCTGCATCACAAAGCCAAGGGACTCTTATAGCCAGATTTTATAGGACCCTGACCACGTGTCCCTGTCTCCAGTCTTTCCTCATTTTAACCCATCCTCTAAAATACTGCCAGAGTAATCTACCTAATGCACAGTTCAACCACATCATGTTCCTTTTTCAAAACCTCCAGTGGTGTTCCACTGACCAAATCAAGTCCAAACACCTTATCCCTGATTTCAAAGCCCTCAACGAGGTCTGACTCTACACTACCAAACCATGCTTCACATGCTATACAGATATCTACCTCATCTCCCACTCCATGCCACACTCCTATTCCACCACCATTGTTCTGGTAACAGTAATCAAATCAATGCCAGCATTGTTAATTGCACAGGCATGACAATCACCTGCCCTATGGCTCCACTCACCACCCCCATGGCTCCCCAGATCCACACACTCTTTCCTGGTCACTACTCCCTATATGTGTAAATAGAATACAAGCTCTTTAAGGACTGGAACTCTCATTTGTGTATTTATATCCCTGGCACCTAATAGGAGCTTTATAAATGCATTTGAGTCGTTAGCATCAGTTTTCTTTCCCAAGAGAAGATTCATAGAAACATTAATGGCACAATGATAAACACTTAAAAATAGGTTAGGTTTAATGTTTGTATCTAAAATCTGTTAAACTCTCTTTCCCCTAAAACCAATGTGTAGTGCCTGTAAGAGAAACATACACACATTTCTCTCATTTAATTTCACCAAAACTCATCAAAATGTTATTCTGAAGATACTTTCTCATGTTCAAGGAGTCTTGTGATTCATTTCAAAGTAAAATTATTTTTCTTAGAAAAATGAAGTAATCATTTTTCACAAGGAAAAGAACTTCCAAACTGCAAAAGATATGACTTCACAGTTAAAAATCTAAAGCCTGGGAGGCTCTGGATATTTAGTTCTTAAAAAGAGAGGCCAAAATGCAGACACCAGAAGTAGAGTTATCCAACACAGTACAGACAGTTTCCAATTTACAAATAGGTTGTGCTCCAAAAATTTACTCTTAAGTCATCTATTTGGAACTGAGGGCAAATTTCCCCTCTAAACAATTTTATAGATAATACTTAGGTTCCCAGGCTAACCCACAAAACTTATTTAACTCATAATGTACTTCAAGTAGAGTAATAATACTTTCGTTTTATAGGACATATTATATAACAATGAGGTTTTTTGCTAAAGGAAAACAGTTTTGATTTCCAAACTGGGATTCTGAGAATACCTGCTTGTCAGAAGGGCACAAGCTAGGACTCTCAGGACATGCCACATTACCTGGGTTTGAGCAGGCACTTTCCCTGTGTTTTCAGACATAATTTCAAAGGTTATACTTTTGGAAGTGTATCTTGAAATCACCTCCATATTCCTGACTCCTAGGATGACTCTGACTCGTAACAATTACCTACTCCTCCAGATCTTCCCTGACTCTACCTGACAGCTAGAGTTGCCTTCCCCTTAAGACTAAGCATTAAATTTGAAAATCAACATACTGCTATCCCCAGAAACATTTCTAGCTGTCTTCCTGCTTACATCCACGACAAAGTCAAAATGGAACCCATCTAAACAAGCATCCAAATAATCCATATATAAAAAAATGTAGCCAAAGGTGTTCACTACTTATGGAGGATGTCATACACAAATTTCAAACTGAAAAGATTCTGTTCAGATATTGATATATTCTAGAGGCTTCAATTAATGGATGATAAATATTGTGTGGATCCTATCAAGCCCCTGAATATTACATGGCCTCCACAATAAAATCCATGACTCTTCATAAGATTGCCCTAACAATCTATATACAAGAAAAACTATTATTTTGAATTATCAACAATCAATTCCATAAGATTTTGAGTTTTTAATTTTTCTCCCCCTCCCTTCCCACCTCGGTACATAATCTGGATTTTACTAAGATAGAGCTGTTATGAACCACCCAGAGACCCTCTGTGCAAGTTTCACATGAAATAGTAGTGGCACGAATTCCAAATGTTTGAGATGCAGGGTGATAGGAACAAAACCTATTAAGTCTGAAGGAGCAATTGAGTATGTGCAGGTATTTATCTCCAAGACTGTGTCACACACTGGTTCCAGAAGCGCAACAGGTTGTCAGAGAGTACGTCTGGGCAGTCCTCCTCAGGGTGAGAGGAGGCAGACACATGAACGTCACCAAGCTAAAGCCACTCCCAGGCCTGTACACATTTCTTTATCTGCTCACAGTAGTTTCTCACTGTTGTTAAGGGATGCACTAATTTTTCTCCTCCTCTTCCTTCTTCGTGTCTGTTCAGCTGTCCAGTTCCCTCTTCTCATCCTCCAGCCTTATGCCTGGCATTGGCTCTGACAACTACCACTATGCCCAAGAAGGATTCACAGGGTCACAGAGTACATATCCAATCAGCAGCATATTTTCAAGCAGCATATTTCACAAGAGATATCATAAAGAAAACATATAACCAGAAAAAGTGATAAGCTAGTCATGGACAAGAGTGAAAAATAACACACAGTCAGCCAGAGTGCTCTACTAAAAAGAACTAGAAGAAAAGCCACTGAGAAGATTCTCTGTAGAGGATCTAAAGAAGAAAATGGATTAGAAGACAACGGGAAAAGGTGTAGACAGCTTCTAATTCATACCAATGAAGGGATAACTACACTCAATGAGATCACAGATCCACTGAGGCAATTAAAAAAGCCTATAATTGTCATTTATTTTAAACTTCATACAACTAAAAAATTGCCATAGACTACTGTTAACACTGAAATGACCTAACTAAATCTTAAAAACAGCAACACAGAAGGTCATGTTACTTGTTTCTGTTAAATCAACACAAAATTATACGAAGGATCTGTGACAGTGGCAGTATAGGAGATTCTCAGTATGGAAACACCTTCCATTAAACAGATATCAATCTGATTATTACTTAAGAGATTCATTAAAGCCTAGGGAGCTACCCGAGGCACACAAATAATTCATTTTGTCAAAGGCAAGATTTGAACCAAAGCTTTCCAGACTCCACACCCAGAATATTTACATTGTAACACAATGCCTTTATATTCTAATATTAATTATCCTATAAGAGGATATATATATCATATATGTCCTATATGAAATAGCAGAAACAAAATGTTTTATAATACAGGTTAAGTTTCCAGACTAGCCTGTAAAAGTATATATAATTCGTTGGGCACTCTAACAATAGATATTACACGCAGTCTTCAACTTAAAAACATACTATGTTCCAAAACTTTATTTGCATGTTGGTTACTTAGACTTTGGAATGCCTTTTCCTACAGAAACAATATTATACATGGGGATTGGATTGCCAACAACCTACAAATCTATGTCACCAAAATGGTGATGAATTGGAGTTCTAATAGGACTAGACTGAGTTCTGGATTTTCACATCAGTGGGTCATATGGCTCAAAAGGGACCAGATATGAAGTTAGAAATTCTGGGATGTAAATGGATTGACAGAAGGAAATTCAATCCCTTTTTCAAACACTCTGGAGTTGGCTTTTTGCACTTAGCCATGATGTAATGTCTTATTATTGGTTGAACAACATCTAAATAGACACTTGTGGTTTTTTCTCTTCATAATATAAATTTTTCTTAAAATGAGCAAATGGACTGTGCCCATTTCCACCTCTAAATTTTTATATGACATTCACACTTTTGTATTTCATCTAGACATTGAGCATAGGCAAGTCCCAAAATTAAATGGCATTTCAATGCATAATTTTAAAAGAAATTACTTTGCATTAACTAGCATTACAGTGACACAACGAAACTGACTATCAAGCCTAGTTTTCTTTACCTAGGTCAAGTTCTCCCACCCTAACAAATAATCAGCAGGCAATCCAGAGTCCTATTTGCTTACTAACACAGTGATCTCTGGTCTTACCACTGAATAAAGGGATGCAGTCAAAGGTTCCCCAGGTGAGGAAAGCAGATGCTGGGAAAGACAATCAAGCACTCATATTTTACCACTACTTGTGGTTTTTTTCAATAGTCATTATTACAAAGTCATTTCTTTAACTATGATTAATGCAGCTGCCCAACTAGCTGAAATGTATTACATTTCCCGAGTGGAAAAAAGATCCAACTGTCTAACAGACATTTAATAAAACCCTGAATAACAAAAAATAATGGCACCTCTTTGTTGGTGATGGGAATAGAGAGGAAATAATTAGGTCGATAATCTTTTTTCTTTTTATTCTTTTTCTTCATTGGGTCTTCTTTCCCTGGCCCCATATTTTCCTGTCTCCTCTTCGAATTTATTTCAGGTACAACAGGTACTAGAAAAAAAAAATATTCCTCTTAATATAATGTATTCATTAAATAACATGAGGCAAACACATGAATAGGATATATGAAATAACCACCCATTAGTTATGCTGAATATTACTATTTCTTCTCATAAATGATATTCCATCTCTCATTCCCATGCCTTTGTACAAGCTGTCCCCCCATGCCTGAAATGCACCCCCATCTTACCTCTACTTCTTAGAATTTCTAATTCCCTTCTGTGGCATTTAAAAAGGTTCAAGAGACATAATTTTCTGGGTAAATTAATCATTTTATTAATAAAACCAGCATCTTAACAAAAGGATCGTCATTTGGCCACCTCTGTCTTAGATCAAAGACAATCATGGTGAACCGGCTCCTAGTTTTTATGTCCTTCAAAGAGTAGGTGTTCCTCAGGGTGGCAATTAACCCTGACTGGTTAACAATTAATGAGAGGATGGACCTAAACTCCGCGAATTATTCACCTCTTAGCTTAACCCCAACTTTGGGCAATCTATTCAAAAAATCTGTCCCCACCGAAACCTGAGTAGAACACAACAGTTGCCCCACCTGAGTGGGGTCTGAACAAGAACATTAGTCCAATCTTGTTACCAGCAACATCCTTCGAGAGAATGAACTTTTAAAATCAGGACTGTAGAAAAAAGGGGTCACTCTGGATTCCCAAAATCATTGGTTGTTAATAAGCATTTCTCACTTCAAAACTGAGCTCAAATGCCACTTCCTACATGATGCCCTTCTAGATACCCCCAAGAACTAGAGCTCCCTATCACCACGAGGATCAAATACTGAATTCTTTATTTTGTATTCAAAACCCTTCACAACCTATCCCTCCCCCTATCTTTCCCATTTTCTTACTCCTTACATCCCCAACTTAGTCTTCCTGGCCTCTGTACTACTCTACTCTACCTCTTGGCTCCAGGCACTTTCACTGGCTGTCCCACAGACATTCACAGAATGGTCTCCCTCCTCATTTCTGCCTCCTAAACTTCCCTGCCTTTCTTTAAGTACCAGCTAAACTCCCACCTACAGAAAAACTTTCCTGATTCCCCTTAATCTTCTCTCCCTTGATTATTTCAGATTTATCCTGCATTTAGCTTGTTTGCACACGATAATTTTCAAGTTTTCTCCTTCTGTGAGCTCCCTGAGAGTAGGGATTGTTTTTGCCTTTCTTTGTGTCCCCAGCACTTAACCCACAGTGTCTGGCACATAGAAGGTGCTTAATAAATATTTATTCACTAATTACCTTGTATTTATTTGTAGATGTTTCTCCTATGAGAATGTAAGCTCCTTGAGGGCAATGTCTTTATTTTTCTTTGTAACCACAATGTCCAACTACTACATGGAGGAAGTATAGTAGAGTAGAAAGTGTCCTAGTTCTGTAATCTAGATGTTTTGTGTTCAAATTCCACCTGTGAAACTTACCAGCCCTAAGAGATTGGGCAAGTCATGTAAACTTCCTAGACTTCAGTGTCTTTACCTCTAAAATGAGGGGAATGGACCTTGTGGTCTCTAAGGTCCCTTCTAATTCTTGATCTATGACACAATGAAATGCTTATAGTTTGATCGAATCAAAAATATAACAAAAAGGGCTTTCGTAAGATCAACTTTAAATTGGAATAATCATTTGTTTTTATATTCTATAAATTTTAATTAGAGTTAGAGAAGTCTGAGCTGAAAGAAATCTTAGATTTTTAATTGAACCCCTTCATTTCATAGATGAAGATCACACCAAGAGTTTAAGTGAGTTATCTAAGATTATTCAGCTAGCACCTCATACTTCACACACAACAGGCACTTAATAAATAATTGTTGATTGGTTCGATTGAATTAGCTATGAAAACTGATAAAGCAACCCAAAACCAAGCAAATTCTGAACACTTCCTTCTTGTCAGTGTGTATTCATACTATGTAAATATATTTTAATATTAACCCAAATAAAATTTAACAAGACATACCTTTTGAAAAAGTGCTTTTAGGTTTTATATTCCACTTAATTCCAAAAAGATAAAAATTAGGAAGGTAAATCAGCTTCCAAAAAAAAAAAAACCTCCAAATAGCTTATTTCCAACACAAGTAGACAAGATTTGCAAATTAAACACTACTTCCTATTATCTACACCAGTGACACCTTACGCCAATGTAAATAATCAAAAATTGACTAATAATACGTAACACTGAAGTAGTACTCAACAATGAAAGGCAAAAAATACAAGAAAAATATGGCTTCTGACTTCCCAATCAATAATAAGCTCACTAAGATCAAAATCTTCTTGCACTTCTCTACTCAAAGCTAATGCTTGCCTGTCTCTCCAATACTCTTTGTTTTGATACCTCTTCCTCCTGTTGATCTTCTGCCATTTTACTGTATTGTGGAAGTTTAAATAGATAAAATTCAAGCCAGTTAATTTTATGCTCCTATGTCTGGTGAAAGGTTTAACAAGAAAGAAACCTGAAACTTTAACTAAAATATTGTTAGGGAGATGATTTTTACTACTCTTTACTTTCCTTACTATCTCTGTTTCTCAAACACATGAAGAAGACCATGTTGTTCCTGTATTTCATTCCTCTATGAGCAATTTGGGGGTCGGGAGGGAGAGTGGGAAATAAGAAGGTAATAGCTATGTAAAAAGATCTTTAACTTATTCTTTTATTAACAAGAACCTAAATTTAAGTCTTTATATTTTAACATGTTTTAAATGGTGATCTAAGGCATTACTAAAAGCTAGTCTTTCAAGACCAGCCAATTTATACAATTTTGTGTCTGCCTGGATATTAACAGTCTTTAGTTACACTCTAAGTTCAGCTAAGTTTTTTTAAAATCCTACATGCAGAAAACATCATGTCAAATTAATTATATAGCCCATTTCCATCATTAACAGTTCTTGTGTTTAGAGGGATGGATATTAATACTGAAGAATTTATAGGATAAGCTAAAAGAGACCTAAGAGATTATGAAGTCGAGTTACCTCATCTGATAGAGCAAATTGAGCCTAGGGATGAGAGGAAACTTAATAAGCATCTGTTGAATTAAACTGGTTAATTGAATAAGTTTCACATCATTAGGAAACTCCTTGTAGACAGCTTAAATGAGGGATTCATAACCTAGTATCTGTGTTTGCTTTTAATATTTTGATAATTATACTTGAATATAATTTGTTCCCTTCATAATATCATTTTATTTTATGCATTTAAAAACATTATTCTGAGAAAGGGTCCATAGACTTCACCAGATTGCCAAAGCAGTCCATAACACAAAAAAAGGTTTAACCCTCATTCCGCAGTTTATAAACTGCTTTACCTTGGAAAAGGAAAGGGGCAAGGGAAGGGAATAAGTATCTATAATAGAGCCTACTACCTGCCAGGTACATGCCAGGCTATATGTGTTAAGCACATTTTATAAGTATTTATTTGATCCTCATAATAGGATAGGTACTATTATTATCCTCATTTCACAGTTGAGGAAATTGAGGCTCACTCCAGGCACAAACCCTGTTCACAACTAGTTCACAAACTACTCCACCAGTTCCCTCTTGGCTCAGTGAGAAGCAGAAGCATCTGCCACTAATATGATAATAATTTTGTTGTTCTTCAGTTGTTTTTCAGTTGTGTCTGACTCTTTGTGATCCTATTTGGGGTTTTCTTGGCAAAGATACTTGAGTAATTTGCCATTTCCTTCTCCAGCTCATTTGACAGATAAGGAAAGTGAGGCAAACAGGGTTAAGTGACTTGTCACACAACTATTAAGTGGATGAGGTAAAATCTGAATTGAAGTCTTACTGACTCCAGGCCTGGTGCTCTAAACACTGCGCCGTATGAGGATGTTTCATAGTTCTGAGTTTTGAATTAAGTTACTTGTCACCTATTCTCAATGCTGAAAAGCAGAAATTCTTTTTATTTTTCTGAATTGTCTTATTTTTCAATCTTTGAATATAATTTTTCTAGTTTTCAATGGAGGGGAGCTGCAACACAATTTTATTATAGGTCATGGAATTTGACAAAGATTATAAAGGTCTTTTAGAAGCTGAATATAAAAAAAATCCTTTTTTCCTGTTTTATTATAGCCAATGACTCACATTCTATTGAAGCCGTTTATTTTGCTTACTCAATGTGTAACAGCTGAAAATTGTCCTTTCTGACCTTTATTTCTGTCATAGTTCTAGCTCTATAGTCTCACTCTTGAGGGATGAATTAGCTATCAAGTACAAGGAAAGCCTGGGGAAAGTTAATCCATCAGTGCCCTTGCAGAGTTCCCCATCTGCTCTGAGGTTATAGCACTAACTCTTCATTCAACTCAGCATTCCTAAGTAAATAAAAAGGCTCAACCTCTCAAGGTATTCTATCCTAGGATTAAACCTAAAAAGCATTATTAATCTTCCTGACCCAGATCTTGTTGTGTGCAAAACTGAAGTCCACAGACTCTCTTAGGATCAATAAAGAAGACCCTCTTGATTAGTTATCTGACAAGACAGGCTGGGCCATGTTCATAAATAGTGCTTTGCTTGGCCACTATAAGAGCTATGTCATCAAATTTCAACAGATTTTTGAAGACCTACAATATAGACTAAAGCCATCCATCAGCAAATCAGTAGCTCCCACAAAAATGTGACTTGGTCCTAGACTACATATAACCAATCAAGTTGTGAATATTCAGGCCTTAGAAGTATGAAGAGATGACCTTGGTGGTCAAGTTCCAGAAGGGCCTCAACAAAACTATCTATAATGAATTCCCTGAGGTCATCATGTCCTTATCTGGCCTTTGGAATGAGGTCTAACTAAACTTCTCATCTAGGGCCTTTCATGGAGTCTACATCTTGTTCACTTACTATGCCATCTGTACTTATGGCAGAAGTAGGTGAGGCTTGTTTTACCATCTCCAAGGTAATGAAATTGGAAATAAGGTAGTTCCATCCATCTTTCCTTGGTGGAATTCCAAGCGAATCTGGATCTTCAGCTAAGCAGGGCATAACCAGGAAGCTACCAGAACAAATTAT